AAATCCGGATAAATTGTATTCAAATAGAGCAATTGTCATTTTTACAAGGTGCTGAGGCTGCCACTATGTTACTGCCATTCTGTGAATTTATGACATTCTTCAAAACTTTTCGAAGTATAGCTGATATCGCCGCAGTCAGGGGGAGTGAGCAATACATTCGTAAGTAACCCCGTTGTCGCTCGCGGCGCATCGTGCGGCAATAAAGTGGCGTTTTCCTGATGGCCGTTACTCTGCCGATTGGAGCAGTGAATTTCATGCACACCACATTACGCGGACTTGTGGCTGTTTCTGGAAATACACCATCTCTTGTCGCCATAGGCGACTCAGAAACTTTCTTTTTACCTCATTGTTTGCGAGCGAGACGTTGCAGACCGCGTCCACCAACGTGACGAATACGATTGTCTTGTCCCATATCCCACAATCAGTAGAGGAGGTGTCAAGGGAGGGAAGGATGCACTCATATGCCTTGGTCTACAATGGTGATTGGTTGGCGATCAACTGAGAAAAAAAAACAGCTCAAGGTTTAAGTGCCGCGGAGGGGGGGGGGGTTCATTCCGTCCATTTAAAGCGCCGCGACTGACTACGACGATATCATCTGTATATTAACAGCAGTCTACAAACTGCCCCTCCCCGCCCTTTGACATGGCACTTCGGCTCCCAGCGCGCAACCAAAGAACTTTTCTTTCTGAACCAAATGAAATATAGACCAGATTATCAAAATATTGACAACTTCTTCAGTACTTGATCCTATCTTCTATTTCTTATTCGGAGTACTCATATTGATCGACTTAAGTGAAAAATACCTACGGCATCTTAGATTTCGCTGTAGATTTACGGTAGACATCGTTCATATAGTATTGTGGATGGCGACAAAACTCACAGCTCATCGCGCAGTAGATCCGCATTGTGTCCCTACTGTAATTTCAGCTCAATCTTTTAAGAAGTTAGGGCCACAAAAATAATGCAGCGGAGAAATCACCTGTATGGGTGCTCACACACGCCGCTCTCGGCAAGGTCTGCACAAGTCTCCAACTCGTCTTTGCACGGTGGCAGGCTGTCTGTAATGCAAAGTTGTTATAGAAATACCCCACTTTCTGGAGTGTAAGCACACTCATGTACATATAGTTCGCATCTTCTCTATGAACGTCGCAAATGCTTCTTCCCCTCTTTACTTCCGCCTGCTTTCTCTTTGGTCTTATCCATAATAACGATCTGCATCCAAAAAAATAAAAGGATAAAGTCTTAGCCGTTGATCAATCCTTTGTCGGATGTGGCACACATTCTACTTCCGTTCAGAATCGTGGTGGCTTATTGAATGCGATGTGGCCTAAACAATGACTTGCGGTGTCCAACTGATGTCCAAGTCAGCGTTTCATCCTCCCAGACGAATATGGGACCAATTTACCG